GGCTTATAGGGTTTAGGTTTTAGGGTTTAGGGTTTAGGGTTTATAGGGTAGGGTGTTTAGGGTTTAGGGTTTAGGGTCAAGCGTTAAGGGTTTAGAATTTAGGGTTTAGGGTTTAGGGTTTAGGGTTTAGGGTTTATAGGGCTTAGGTTTAGGCTTTAGGGTTTATAGGGTAGGGTGTTTAGGGTTTGTAGGGGTTTAGAGTTTAGGGTTTGTAGGGTTTCTAGGGTTTATGGGGTTTAGGTTTTAGGGTTTAGGGTTTAGGGTTTAGGGTTTATAGGGTTTAGGATTTCGGGTTTATAGGGTTTAGGGTTTAGGGTGTATCGGTTTAGGGTTTATAGGGTTTAGGTTTTAGGGTTTCGGGTTTAGGGTTTAGTACCATGTACTCAAATAGGGGGCCAAAGTATCTACTATTTGGGGTCCCTCTGAGTTCCCATGGCGCACGAGGTCCCGTTGGCTCTCCAGAATTCTCAGTCTGGAGGCCAGAAGCGCCCCAGGGCTGAGCGAACACAGGGTTGTAGACACTTCCGAGAAAGGTACATGTGAGGACAATGCCTGGCAACACTTACATCAATTCGTAAAATCCAGCAGGCTCAGCTGATGACGGAGCGCAAGCTCAGAAACACCACAAGAGAGGTGCGGCCATTTTCACTCTGTTGTTGTAAAGCAGCCCTGAAGACCCTGACCTCACAAAGGCCTCTACGCCTTTAGCCATGGAAGTGGCAGCAGATGAGCCTGAGCCGGCAGTGGAAGCAAGAGCTGCTGGGTGAGTTGGGCTTGTTGAGCGACGACCTGGACCTGCTGGGGACCATGGATGTGGTCGATGAGCTACCATTGAGAATGCCAGCTGGGGGCATCAGCCTCCAGCACCTCCATTTGGGTTTTGGGGCCTAAGGGTCCATGTATTCAAATAGTAGATACTTTGGCCTTATAGTCGTCCCTATTCGGGTACTTTGGGGCCAAAGTATCTACTCTGTGGGTACATGGACCCATAGGGTCTTCTTCTTTAAATTGAATGATACCTGGAACCCTAAAAAATAAACCCTAAACCGTCCAGATGATACTTTCCTTGCTTTGATTACGGCTATTGTTCTCTTAGCCTGATTCTGGTTGTGATTATTGTTAACTTATCCTTAAACTGTACACTATACTAACAGCGATAGAAAAGTAGAAAGCAAGAATCGTGCTAAATTAAAGCAAGTACCATTACAAAACTTGGGTTTAAGATGACTATTGCACTAATTTGTGGCTGTATTGATTTCCGATGCTCAAGTCAAGTCCTTGTTGAGCCTTCGAAGAGTCGGAGGAGAGGATGCACATCGGGCTTTTGTCGTTTCCGTTTGTTTGCCCATGAGAAGAGGCCGAAGTGTTTGACAGGGGTTTAGGGTTTAGGGTCTAGAGGTTGTCACTTTGTGCTTAGTTTCTACACTGCCATGGGCCTTAATCAGGACTCACGGTCCAGGGTTCAGTCCAATGGTATAGGACCCCTAAACCCTAAACCGGGGTCGGGGTCTGGGTTTGGAGTTTTGGGTGCAGGGCAGTGGTGTTTGCAGAGTTGCATGAACATTCAGCAATGCGTGTGCATCTTTAGGGTTTAGGGTTTAGGGACTGTGTATCTTGAAACAGTGTAAGCTTCATGTCCTTACGGCCAGCGGCTTAGGCTTCAATATCTTTTGAAAAAGTCTTGCGGATGTATAGTGTATAGCCTTTGGTTTCTCTGTGGGTCGTAGGCTGGCCCTGTATGGTCCATGTAAGTAAGCCTGCAACCCTCACCCCTACACCCGAAAACGTTAAAAAACAATCCTGAACCCCCCAAAGTTCTACCCCCCCAAAACCTATCAACTCCTAAACCCTAGACCCTAAATCCTAAACCCTAAACCCTAAACCCTACTGTAAACCCTAAACCCATAAACCCATAAACCCAAAGTTTTTGCAGCCTAAACCCGCAGATCCCTCATCCTGAACCTGCTACAGCCCCTGCTAAACCCCGCGGAGTCACGGTTTAGGGTTTAGGGTTTAGGGTTTAGGGTTTAGGGTTTAGGGTCTAGGGTTTAGGGTTTAGGGTTTTGGGCCTTGAACTTCGACGCCGGTACAACCCGTGTACCCTCAGCCATTTTTGTGTTTTAGGGGTTCGGGTTTAAGGTTTAGGGAAGCCCTCAACCCTAAACCCTAAAGCCTAATACAACCACTACAACCCTCAACTTTGGAACCCCAAGCCCCCAAGCTTCAATCCTCAACTACCTTAAGAACCCAAAACCGACTTTTTTGTAGGTTCTGATTATAAACCCTAATATGGGATTTATAGGGACCCTACAAAAAAGTAGGTTTTGGGTTCTTAAGGTAATGCCTAAACCATGTAGAAAGCCTCAGCCCAAAACCCTAGACCCTGTAGAAAGCCTCAACCCTAAACCCTAAAACCCTAAGCCAAGGTCCAGGGCTTTGACGAGGTCCTCGGCCACCGCGAGGCAGGGCCTCTCTATCTGGGACTTGGGGTTTAGGGTTTTAGGGTTTATTCTTTAGGGGTTCAGGGTTTACGGGTTTAGGGTTTAGGATTATCTGGGACTTACCTAAGACTGGGAGCTCAAGGTTTAGGGGTTCGCTGTAAAGGTGATTTATAGTTTAGGGTTTAGGGTTTAGGGGTGTGGTTTCGGGTACATCTGATCCATAGAGAAAGGGTCGGTGATTCGTGAAGTATTGAAGCCCCGCTAGGATTTGTCAGCCAGACAACCCTAGTTGCTGCAGTCTGGTCCCTATTCCAATCACAGGCGATTGAACCTGTCTTAACGGGGTCTTAGGTTTCTTATTTCTTGTTGCCAAATATAGTAGTAATGAAGAACCATGGCATCCTCACTAGTCCTGCTACTCGTATGAGCTTTTGTTGCCTGGCAGGGAGTTTCGTGGGGTCAGGACACAGCGCCGGAGAGTCTGCCTTCGGGCAACGCCTGCGAAGGTTGCTTGAAGAGTTGGTCCGTCAGAGTCAAAGATCCTCCTCCTTTGCAAGCTAGGCTGAAGCTGCTTTTTATTTTGGCTTGGCCAGGGGCATGAGAAAGGATCGCCAAAGGTGACGTGCATTTGATTTCGCTTTGGCAGGAGATCGAAGAGAACTTGGAGGCCTACGGCCTACGACCACTGGTTCGAGAGAAGCAGTTCAGCTTGCTTCCCCCAATTTGTGAAGGCTCCCTCGACTATCAACAACTCCTGCTCTGTGCGCGAGTGCCTGGGGCTGGGAGTTCATAGTGTTCGATAACCACGTATGCTCTAGCCATCTGCAACCTATAGGTACGATTATCCCAAATGGGCCTTGATAGTGCCGTGAATTTTGGGGGTTTTGCTGACCATAGCAGCCAGAGCATTTGAGAAACAGAGTATCCCATCTCTTAGCGAAGTAAAGTATCACGGGTCATTCATACGGACAACTCGATTTTGGTGGTCACGGCACTATCACTATTGATCGAATTTGTGCATGTTGCTAAAGAATACACTCTTGGGGAACACAGTAGGGAGGACGACAGAGAACAGGACCCTGAAACTCATCACCTGAGACGCACAAATTGAGGATCCGGGGAATACAAATACAATTTTGTTATAGTCTTGTATACTTGGAGCATTCACCCCTAAGCACTAAGCCTTAGCTTAAGCCGTAAACCACCGGACCGATGATGACTCCTTGTAGCACCCTCTAGAAGCCGGAATAATTAGTTATACTATTCCTGAAGGTTCCTTTTTCTGATAATATCAGAGTATGCCCTCCCAAAGCCCCGATTCTAAGTATCCAGGTCCCTACCCTAAACCCTAAACCCTCTAAACCCTCTAAACCCTCTAAACCCTCTAAGCCCTAAGCCCTAAACCCTAAACCCTAAACCCTAAACCCTAAACCCTACCCTAAACTCTAAACCCTGAACCCTAACCTTTGTTC